TGCCGACTAAGTTTAAAATGAGAATTTACTAAAATATAAAATTTTAAACTTATTTAACCTATCCTGTATCTTGTTTTTAGAAAAAGTTTTTTTTTTATTTTTAAACATTACCTTATTGCCGATTCACTACAGCTCCGTGAAAGTCATTTTCCTGTAAAATATTTTAAAATTCGTTTTAATTCTCTATCAACTAACAAATGAATTACAAAATCATAAAATTTTCTACTAAATGTCAAAGAATTTTCTGAACTTAAATACACTTTAATACGTTTCTTACTTTGGAATCCTCCATTATAACCACTTCTACAACTAGTCGAGAAAATAACAATTATTACTTTTAATTTAAATCAAATGTAGAATTAGTAAAAACATATATATGTTACTGCTAAAGCTCGAAAGCCGTTAATGTGTACATTACATAGCTAATCTGCAGATTAATTAGGGTGATCTGTTAAAGTTGCGAAAATTGTTTCATTTCTCAAATTACCTAGGTAATCTGCAGAGTATCTAGGTAATCTGCAAATTACCTACTAGGCACTCGGTAAAGTGAAAATAAGATCTTTGCTAGAACAACAGCAACGTTTCTGTACGCTTAAATCAACATGTTATTTATTTAATTTTCAATATCTAAAGAATCAAGTTAATACAATCAACAAATCAGTTGATTGGATCAATCATCAATCAATTAAAAAAACTTTAATACAAAAATCAAACGGTTTAAAATATTACTACAATTAGGGAAATGAATTTGCAAAACATATGATAAAATTGTACTTACTTATTAGTGCAATCTAAAGATTGGTGACACTTTGAATTACGTAGCAATTGGTTTTTGCGACAAGCACGCCTATTTGTGGTACATTTAGATTTGCAGTCACATTTTCTGAAACCCTGCCCAGTACCAAGGGATTGTTTTATTGCTGTTNGGATATTCTTTTTAAATTTTTGATAAAAAACAGAAATTTTTGGCTTGGCCCAGACTTCGATGGGCCAATTCCACAATCAATGGCGCGTTATAGCTTCATGGGACCAGACGAATTTGAATTAGGGGCCTCGTATACAGCGTTGACTTTAGGGGACTGGGCACGATACGTCTGGAACCGATGGCTCACGAAAACGATCCCGGAGTTTTCTGCTCCGATTTGATCCTAGGTAGCCCAGAGCAATAGGCTGACGCTTTAACAGCAACCAGTTATCCTGCCGACTAAGTTTAGAATAAAAATTTACTAAAATATAAAAATTTTAAAGTTATTTGACCTATCCTGTATCTTGTTTTTAGAAAAAGTTTTTTATAATTTTTAAACATTACCTTATTGCCGATTCACTACAGCATCGTGAAAATCATTTTCCTGTAAAATATTTTAAAATTCGTTTTAATTCTCTATCAACTAACAAATGAATTACAAAATCATAAAATTTTATACTAAATGTCAAAGAATTTTCTGAACTTAAATACACTTTAATATGTTTCTTACTTTGGAATCCTCCATTATAACCACTTCTACAACTAGTCTAGAAAATAACAATTACTACTTTTAATTTAAATCAAATGTAGAATTAGTAAAAACATATATATGTTACTGCTAAAGCTCGAAAGCCGTTAATGTGTACATTACGTAGCTAATCTGCAGATTAACTAGGGTGATCTGTTAAAGTTGCGAAAATTGTTTCATTTCTCAAATTACCTAGGTAATCTGCAGAGTATCTAGGTAATCTGCAAATTACCTACTAGGCACTCGGTAAAGTGAAAATAAGATCTTTGCTAGAACAACAGCAACGTTTCTGTACGCTTAAATCAACATGTTATTTATTTAATTTTCAATATCTAAAGAATCAAGTTAATACAATCAACAAATCAGTTGATTGGATCAATCATCAATCAATTAAAAAAACTTTAATACAAAAATCAAACGGTTTAAAATATTACTACAATTAGGGAAATGAATTTGCAAAACATATGATAAAATTGTACTTACTTATTAGTGCAATCTAAAGATTGGTGACACTTTGAATTACGTAGCAATTGGTTTTTGCGACAAGCACGCCTATTTGTGGTACATTTAGATTTGCAGTCACATTTTCTGAAACCCTGCCCAGTAC